TTCTGCACAAATATTTGAGTCATTCATGAAGGGAGGGTTGAAAAATAATAACCTAGAAATAAAATACCACATAACTAAACACATCATCGCTCAACAACCGTAAGTAAATTTTAGAACACTGTTTACGGCAATTTAACGCTCTTAAATGCATACCTTCGCATTGCGACCTCACTGCGGTACTGCGTTATGTAGGGAGAACATAACGAAGGAAGCTGCTGAAACGAGCAGGGTAATTGGAAGGACTCAGGGCGATAAATAAATTTTTCTTTTGGTATTTGCCTACAAAACGCACTGCCGCAGGCAGCCTGGCATTGAGCAACGGCTATTTGTCTAAAGTTTGAGTTGCTTTCAAAAAGCGAAATAATAATAATTTATGGCTTGCGGCTGCGAGTGTGTAGAAGTTGTGGCAGGCAAATGAAAGAAAGCAGAAGTGAAAAAGTAGTGATAGACTGAGTCAGACAACGATTTCCTGAACTCATATTCATACTTCGCGCTACACACTTTGTAACACTTAACTTTGTGAAAACCGCTACCAAACTGCGGTGAAGTTGAGCGACACGCAGTGCGGGTAAATAACAATTCAAAAGCATTTAAGATGCTTCATCATCTTCAGTTTCTTTTTATTGTATTTGCAGTATTCCACTTTCTATGTCTGTGTATATAAAGTTTGTCAAGAAGAACGAAACGTCGGGAACCCTATAAGATCTATATGGGATATTAGTGTTTTGCACACACCCTTTTCATTGCCATTAAAACTAATCGGTGAAAATTAAGTCCTTGTATAGTAAACTGTTTTGTTTGAGAAGATATTTTCACGAAACTTAGAAGGTATCTACAATTTCCGAACAAATTGTTCAGATCGGACCATGATAGCATATAGCTGCCTTATACCGTACCTTTTCATACTACTTGTATATAGCATGCACCTGTGAAAGGTATTACGAGTATAGCTTCGGTGCAGCCAAACGTTAACGCTTTTTCTTATTTTGTATGAAATAGTGGTTTTTCAAACTTGTTATTGTAATTTGCCCCCAACCCTCTCACTCTATTTAAGTCAAGTGCTCACCACAGCAGGTTGCCAGCGAAAGATCAACGGAGTGGACACTTTAGAGCATTTGAAGTGCTTCAGCGTTAGAAGCGAAAGCAAAATAAGCAAATTGCAGTAAAAAAAAGCACTCAGCATTTTTCTAAGACTGCTATTGTTGTTTTTGGTTGAAAGCCTATTGCCTTACTAGAATTTCGCAGATGCTTTAGTCTAATTTTCATTACATCATATTCCTGGCAACAGTGTGTTTGTCTGTTGTCCTCAGAATTTCATTGCTTTCTTTTATTATTTTGTTGGTGGGTGAATCTGCTTCGTAAGCGGGGTGTGATTGTTGTGGTTTAACTGCGCGTTAATTTTAGCTGAGTGTGCTATAATTTGGTTGCTGAAATTAATTGAAATTTATAATCAAATGTTTAACCACAAAAAAATGTAAGGCAGTTGAATCGAAGTAATGGGAATGTACGGGTTGTCAAGTACACATGAGTAATAATAGTCATACGAGTATATGTATGTTAATTTATGTAATATTTGAAGAGGGCTAACATGTAGGTTGTTTGTAATAAAAGTTGCTTCAGAGCAAATTCAGTCATATAGCAGTACAAGGGCGGTTCGATAAATGTTTGGCTTACAAAAAAGAAGACAATTTTAGAAAAATGGCGATTGCCTACTTAACATAGGTAGCTTTTGGTGTGAAACACTAAACCCAACGATGCTGAAACTTCTTTATTTTGTCTAAAAAGGCGTTTTCTGTAGGTCTGCAAAGTAGGCCTTCGTGGCGGCACAGTCCAGGTCGACCAATTTGGCTGTGGCGATAGCGGATGTATGAGCGAGTGTGTCTTATGTTGGAAAAGTACTTTCTTTCTCTCGAAATGGCCCCCTTTTTTGCGATGCTCCGTCAAATCGAGATATATTCTCATATTACAATATATTACTCAAAAAGTCGTACTATTAGTGGGTAATTTTTCTCATTATCTTTAAAATATAAATACATATACATATTTTCATGTTCTCTTTTCTTGCTTTGTCCTCACGTGCTCAGTTGAGAAAAAACAAAATAGGCGTAACGTGAGTCGATAACAGAATCGTTTGCTGGCGATCTTTGGCAAATCGCTCGATATCGAACAAGCAAAAAAAAAAGGCCGTTAACAGCAATCAGCATGCAAACTTGCCTTGTGTGCCTTTGAGCGCCTCTGCACACACGCGAGTTGCAATTGAAATGTTTACTAAGAACAACCTTAAAATGCTTTCACTCCTCACACACTTCGTACACTTCTCGGCAGCTCAATCAGTTTATGTATGTATGTATGTACTAAGTGTGCCCTTCAACCAGGAGGCTGTGTGTCTGCGAATCTGTGTGCTTTTGTATTGCTTTCCTGTCCATACGGCAGCTTGCCTGCGCGTTTAACGTCTACGCGCTCTACATTTCAATGCTTCCGCATGGGCAATAGCTAACTTTTCACTTCCGTTTCCGTAGCTACACATTTTCTGCTTTTACTTTCTGAGCACGCGAGACAAGAAATCGATAGCGATGAGTTAAAGACGCGACAATGCGTTCTATATGGGGTGTATGTGGGACTCCAATGAGCGAGTGTCATTGATAACACATACACACGGTGGTTGAGGGTTATGGAGGGAGTCGGGTTTGAATAAGAATTGCAAAATTTCATCTGTTTCTACTTCTATTTTATTTACACAGCATTTATATATATATATATATATATATATGTACATGTATGCTTGGCTTTTAAATCGCTAAGTTTATAGTTTGGCGTTAAGAACTTAATAAGAAATGCAATAACATATTTAATTATGATTTTTATTGCATCATTTCTCCTTTTTAATAAAAAAGTTTATGGCTTTGGTACTAAATATTAATCGCAAAACCATACCGCCAATATATGTTCAAAATAGCAAGTTTGATGGTACTGCTTTCAAAGTATTTTATTACCTATTATATCTGTAACTTCTAGTGATTTTTTTAAATAAAATTACAACTTAAAGTAACGATAAAGTTATCCAGCTAAAATCAATAGGCATTGAGTTTACAATATTTCGAAATCTCATCACGTGTCAGACAGTTTTATGTACGTACTTCTAAATTCTCAATATCTATTTTATGTACGTATAACTAATTCCAGCGAGTTATCTCAGAGCTCCAAAGTCCCTTTAGTTTCGAAGTGCATTTTCACTATAAACAAAAAGGGCCTTTCATTGCTAAATTTGTGGGCTTTTACTCTTCTTTTTTCAAACTACTACTATTTCTTAGAGATTTACGAAAATTTGGCGTCTGAGGTTATCAAAAATTATATACTTATGTATATCTGATCACGGCCTTTACACAAGGTTTATTATAAAACTAGTTTTTTTTGTGATTTGGATCAAAGCAGCCTTCAGACGGATTATTTTTTGGAACGCAATACCATCATAAGAGCAACCCAAGCTGCCGTTTCTTACGACTGAAATAATTATTAGGTAAGCTTTCGGCTAGAGTGTAAAATCACTCAGTGATAGGGCTCTTCATCTAGAACGCTAAAAAAGGAATACCTGACGTAACTCTGTACGTGTAACAAAAAAGTTTCGTGCCTTTTGATATGAAACTACTCTCAGAATATATCAGGGTGCAACAAGAATAAAGTGGAAAGGTCGAACGAGTCAAGAGTTAATTAGCAAGAGTCAATAAATCAAAAATCTATAAAGTGCCATAACTCAGCTGCGCCACTGAATAATGTACATTGTACCTCACAAACTACTACAGCTTTTATAACCAACATTGCTCAGGACAAGTTTTTTCGGCTACTCCTCCGATAGTATTCTCCATATAATGGTAATGTTGAAAACGATAGCTTATCAGAAGCATTAAATTTTACAGCAAAGATGCTACGGAAAAGCTTTATAGGAGCCGGGGTCAATATTACAGAGTGGGAGTGACACCTTCAAGGTGAACTCGCATATATCAGACATCTGATTCTTTTATTTTACAGTTTACAAATCTAGCACCAATGAGTATATTCCCTAGCCCCATATACTTGTATCTAATTCGATTTTCGAATTCCGGTTGACTTACACCTTGTATATCGGTCAATATGTGAGCTATCTCAATGAAATTCAGAAAACGTCTAATAAAATCATATATATATATATATTAATATCATTGTGCATGAAATAAATAAAAGCGAGTGTATACTTCCCCTATTATAAATACCGAATATATGTATTTTAAAACACCCCTTTGACTTTATTTTTTATATATCGATCAATCTGTGAGGCTTCTGTGTGGTTTTCTGGCATTGGGACAATCTATCCCATATTATCAATACATCAACTTCAAACTTGGGGTTTGCCTTTATACCGTATATATCGGTCAATGTGTAAGATATCCTATGAAAATTACCAATCAAGATACCAATATGATTGTAATTCATTAACAATTTTGTAGAATAGGGAATAATGAACTCTTTTTTTTACTTTTTTATTCAAGTTTGCTAATATCCGGCTTTAATCTTTGAAAACTACACGAATATAAAAATTTCCGTTACAAACGAAGTTAGCCCTTTCTTACTTGTTAAGTTGATATTTGTTTGGAAGTCGGAGTTGATGGTACTGATTTCATTCACTGCGTTCATCTTCTCCCTCTCTTGAAGTATCTTTGTGTGGTTTAAGCTTCGAAAGCCTTCGCAACCCAATCTAAAAATTTCTCAGCGCAAGCCGATTAAATGAGTTTTAATAAATTTGCGTGTAAGTTAATTAAGACACCCACACAATACTTTTCAATCATGGGCTAAAAGCTACACAGCATTAAATAAACTTTTAAATCTCCTTCCAAAAAGTTTCGAGCAAGTAAATGCGATACAGGAAATTTTAATGAATGTTCTCAAGAAATTCGCTACAAATTATTTCACTTATTTAAATTATACATTTATATAATATTAAAGTAGATAGTTGTCGTTGTACTTACTTTCAGTACTCCATGCGGCCTCACAATTCTGCCATGGCAACTGACGCCGAAATGAGGCGCACATATAGAATATTGTCCAGGCAATAATCAAATTATAGTAGAGCATTACAATGGCCGATACGATAACCATGCCAGCGCCGAGACCACGAAACAGCGGACAGAAGCGACGATAAATGGCCACAGGCCCCAAAGCGGCATACTGGCCGAATGAGAGCTCCATGAACATGAGCGGCAGACCGGCGATAATTAACATTATTGTAAATGGTATGAGGAAGGCGCCTGCAGTAGGAACAAAAGCGAAATATTAGATACAAGAATGAGATATTATGTGAGAATTAGAGTGACAAAGTTAATGGATGTTAATGTAATTTGGTAAAATTCTTACTTGATTTCCCTGTTTCAAACTTCGAATATCAAATATTCAACTTACCACCACCATTATTGTAGCAGAGATATGGGAAGCGCCACACATTGCCCAGCCCCACCGAGTAGCCGAGCAATGAGAGTAGAAAATCGAAACGGCCCGTCCAATTGCCACGCTCCGGTTCATTAGGATCACCGGTGTCGAGCGCAATTAGCGCTGCGCCGGAATCACCACCGCCGATGGCGACTTTGGTTGCTGGTGTAGTTGGTGTGTTCGGTGGATAGGTGATCACATCGATGGGTTCGCAAGCGGTTGGGCCGCCTGGTCCATCACCGCCACCATCACCACCAATTCTAATGCTGATGGCTTTGCCGTGTTGCGCGCTGCTGGTGCCGCTACTGCCGACGGTTTTGGTGCTTGTGGCAGCTGCGGTTGTCACGTTGCTGTTATTGTTCGGCACTTTAGCGCTGGCGGGCAGTTCAACGGTTGTGAAGCGATCCTCATTTTGCTGCGTTATACAAGAGAGAAAAAAAAAAGTATTTAAAATATAGATTCATAGTTAGCGGTCAGATATAAGTGATGTGTAAAAGTGAGCTTAAGTTAGTTAGAAATAATTCAAAATATTGACTATATTTTGTAAATGAGGATAATTGAAATATTATTTGAAAATTTGTTTGGATTCGTGCTGGAGCTGCAGAATAAAATCAAAACCCAGTAGATGGCAATCAGCAGAAAACTACAGAGAGAGAGCATATCCGTTATGCGGTTTTATAATTAAAATAATTTCCTTTTATGGAAATGTTCATTAACCGAAGTCAAGGAACGACTTTATTAAGTAAAGTGTTTCTATTAGCTCTTGCTGTTGTCTTTTCTACCTCTATCACTGTCAAGTACCGTTATTCTAGAAATTACTGGCTTCGGTCTTCAAAAATGTATTACTAAATTTGATACAGATACAGTTTTGTAGCGGAATTCAATCCTCTTATTACATGAACCATTCCTTAATAGGGCCAATATAAATGTTATATTTTTTCTTTGTCCTTTATTCATCACAGTCTTTTATTCAATGATATCACAGTAACATTGTGGTATAACTAGATAGAGAAGGGCAGGAAATGGAGTAAAAATTAATGTCCTTGTTAAAGGCAATGTCGAAATCGATGAGAAAGGATTTGGTGCTATTGCCTTTTAATATACAGGGTGCTGAAAACTTTAAACTAGGTTTTAAGTATATTATTTCTTTCCTCTGGGAAGACACTTTTTTTGTATCTCAAACACAATTGGCCATGGATGGTTGTTTACACTTTGCAGAGATATCATAGATCATAGATCGATTCACTGTGGTCCATTTTCTTCGGTGAATACGAAATCAAATGTCTAATCCAATTTTACACGATTCCCACTTTGGACCAAGAGTTTGAAATCGAGTTAACCATAACTTGGCTCGGGTTCCAATGTTCAAATATTCCTTACTTAAGCTTAAACTTAAGCTAAAATATTTAAAGATTTTCGGAGAAACTTTTTTCTAAATACCGTTATATTTAAAACTGTAATTCCAGCATGAAACTGAGTTATCGCAACTCTTTTTTAGCGATAACTCTTTTTTAGCGATAACTCGGTTTCATGCTGGAATTACAGTTTTAAATATAACGGTATTTAGAAAAAAGTTTCTACTATTTCATTAAAAGTTAAATGTGTACACAGTAAAATCTACCCTCATCTGCTTCCTCTTCTGTTTGCACTGAATTCAGCTTAACTCACGCCTACTAAATTAGCTGAGTACTTCGCTGACTTTAATTTACAGCTTAAGAGTGGAATTTTCGCCAACACTTTTAAAACTCTTATGCATCCGCTCAAGCATGCTAAACTTATATGTATTTATCCTATATAACGCACACAGACACACAAAAGTTGTATTGACTTTGAAAAGCGCGCTTAATCACGCGCTTAATGCAACACAGCTGTGTTTACGCCTAAAAGTAGATTTTACCATAAATTATTTCTGTATTTGTTAATTTGTAAAATTACAATAAAAATAATAGCATTATATATGGTTACAATATTGCCAAATGAAGAATATTCAAGTGCGTTTCACGCACGTAACTTGAGTATACCACTTATAGGAATATAAATATTAGGGTGGAGCGAAAAAAAATTAGTTTTCTTGGTTTAACCTGGGGGTAAAATCTGTAGATTTAAAAAAAAAACAAATTTTTGGTCAAAAGAAAATTTTTTTTTAACAGTAAATTCCGAGTTAAAATTTTGTTTTTTGTGCCAAAAGTTTTCTTTTTTTATAATCTACAGATTTTACCCCCAGGCTAAGCAAATAAAAAAAATTTATTTTTCGCTCCACCCTAATAAATATTATATATTATATTTATTTATGATATATTTTCGCCACATTTCCATTTGAATTCATTGAAAAAATATATATTTCGCATGAAAAAATATGTTGAAGAAGATACTTGAGTGGTAAATTTTAAGTATTCACTCGATGAGTTGGTAATGTTCGCGCGAACTTCTTGATCCTGCATTAACAAAGCGCATTTTGCAGTTGCTGTTTTTATACTTAATTTAATTTGCATATATTTGAAGTACTCTTGTAAATTATTAATACACCAACACTTAAACAAAGAGAAATATTGATGAAGGCATTCGACAATTTATAACTCTTTGTAAGTACCAGCTGGTAGAAATTTGTTTATTCTTAACAGTACTAGTAATAACTAATTGAACTGAAATTTTGAACACGTTCTTTTCTCTTCAACATACTGTTTCGGTACGACCGAAGATAAGGTATTTTCTTGTTAACTAACTTTTTCATCACTCTAGCTTATTGATATCTTCAAACAGAGGTCCAAATTTAATTTAACGACTAATTATACTCAAAAAACAATTTTATATAGTTTTCATAAAAAATTGGAATATGAAATATCCAACATAGTAACACGGAGATATACATTGTCGAGTTCTACATTCGTACATACGATTCAACCCGTGGTGTATGACCAAACCTTTAGCCCCACAGTATTCGCCAACTCTCCTCTTGAGTTTGAATTGGAATTAAGTCCACAGAGCACATGTTATATCAGTATCTCACTAATATTCCGCTATTCATTTATTAATACAATAATGCAAATGCAACAAGGCGTAGCCATTGTTTCACACTTGGCCATTAAAATCTAACTGAAACGCGCCATTGAGCTGATAATTAGGTTTATTAGCAGCAAGCTGCAATATCATGAGCCCATCCACACCCACACCAACACACACACACAGTGGCGCGTGATCATATTTAATGGTGAGAATAGAATACACTGAATTACATAGTATTGTAATTATATGCATACTGTGAATTCGCAGTTGGCAGCGCGCTTGACCTTTGAAAAATTACGCGCTGGCAATTATTGAAAATTTGCACGCAATGAAACGGCTAGCGAGCGCGCTGAGTGTGAATGCAAAGTCATTGTGAGTGCATATGTGTGTGTTTATTTAAAATTCGCTTTTCCGCAAATAAATTTCTATTATTCATTTTGTGAATTGCTTAATTATTGACAGATGACGGCAATCAACACTAAGCGCTAACACTCAAACAACCAACAACAGTATACTGGGGAATTATGTGCCACAAAGAAGGGTGCGGGGTGGTGATGCGGCCTGTCACTTACTTGCAACAAATGCATAAACAATGATGCAACGAAATGAATAAATGAATGGCTCACATGGCAGCGATGGTATGATATACAAACACATAATTATATGCATGAGACGCGATGCTGGTGTGCGCCGGGGCGTATGAGTAGCAACTGTCAACACTTAATCTCCATGGACGACGGCGAGTGAGAAAGAGAAATAAACAAACTGTCGCACGAAGGTTACGCAATGTAACTGAAAAGTAAAATAATAATAATAAGTAAGAAAAGGCTAAGTACGGATGTAACCAAACATTTTATACTCTGGGTTTTCAAAGAAATTATCTAACAGAAACTTTAGGTCATATAACACTTAGGCGATATTTATACCCTGAATATTAACACTAGAACTACGAAGATTTACCATGGGCCTGTTTCAAAAAGGTCTCTCTTCCTCTGAAAATTAGAAGCGTAAGAACAAAATAATCTATAATATTATTCTATACACAAATTTAATAAAAATCATGACATTATCGTAAAATACTTAATAAGAATAAAGAGGAAATGGTAAAAATAAATGATGCAACCGGTCATTTTGACCGATTCGTAGTTCTAGTGTTAAGTCTGCCACGACGTTTGTGACACTCAGAAGGAAACGTCCAAGATCCTATAAAAATATATATATAAATGATCAGCTTGACGAGCTGGGTCGATTTAGCTATGTCCGTCTGTTCGTCCGTCTGTCCGGCTGTATGTATATACGCAAACTAGTCAAATAGTTTTTGAGATATCGATCTGAAATTTTGCACACTTCGTTTTCTCCCCAAGTAATTCATGTAAATTTTTTGGTACCCCCGATATCGGGCCACTATAGCATACAGCGGCCATATAAACTGAACAATCAGAACCAGGTTCTTATATGGAAAACTTTTTTCATTTTACTATTATATTAGGGATTGGGGTTTGGTCCGATTTTATTCGTATTCAGCTAGTGGTTAAGAAAACACTTAATTTCTATAAATATCAAACATATTGACCTAATTTAACCGTTTGCAATTGACTGGAAGGTGGGAAAAAACTATACTAGGTATTTGGGGACTAAGAGAAGCATTGACCCAGTTATAACCAAATTCGGTAGACAGACAATAATTTTAGAAGAACGCTCTCTGAATTTCATTAAGATAACTCGCATATTGACCGTTATATATAGTATAAAGTCAATCGGAAGTACGAATAGTTTTTTCTTTACTTGTGCAAAGTTCTACTTCGATAACGTCATCGGCTCTCGATTTATATACTGTAAAATGAAAGGTTCTGATGAAATTGTAAATAATTCTATATGGAAAGTAGGTGTGATTGTAGTCCAATTTCCTGTTGGTATAATGGTACGTACCAAATTTGGCTAAAATGGGTGGACCAGTTCCTGAGATTCTAATTTAGTCACCGGCTATTATGAGGCAAAACTATTATACTCTGTAGCAACAGGCTGCAATGAGCCATTTGCTGCGAAGATAGGCCACTGAATTTACGAAGGAAATCTTGTTTTATAAAAAAGTTATATAAATAATTCCAACTCAGTAGCTAATTTAAACACGCGACATATTTTTCTCTATACTTATTTAAGCATTTCATTCGATCCCGAGATAAAAGTTTTCGACAAAAAACAAAAAAAAAATATTTAACAAGTTATTGTAACAAGCTTAAAAATACTTAAGACATACACATATTTGTGAATAGATTTGCCACCTACTGAAAAACATGACACCTAGCGCAATTTTACAAAATATATAATGTTTAAAAAGTCTTTCGAGATGTACTCGTAATACGTACCGAATTTTAAATTTTCACGTATTTTGGAATGGAGTTGACACCCACCGATACAAAAAAAGGACTAAAAAGTGTAGAACACAATTGTGATGAAACCCGTACAGAAATTATTCGAGCAGCTTCAGAATTACCACAAACTAAAAAATTAAATTTCAAGAAAATATTACGAAATATGTACTAACCATGAGGCGTTTAACGAAAAATTATTCTAGAAGCCCTAAATTAACAGCAAACTAACTAGAACTAACTTGCCATCTATCAAAATAACTAAACTTTAACAAAATGTGGCCAGTATAAGATTTTTAAAATATAAATTGAATTTAAAAGTAATACTTGTTACGTCATACTTGACAGCGTTATGTGTAATGAAGAGGAGATTCGCTGCAGCGAGTGACCGGAAAAATATTTTTGACTGAAAGTCTATGTATGAACTGATTCATACATTATTGCTTTTCAAAATTGTAAAAAACACATTTGTTTCGAGCAACATCAACAAGAAAGCAAATCTAATATATGTAGATGTGATGAGAGCATAAAACACTACGTCGTACTTGATTTATTTTTCAAAAACATTGAAGTAGTAAGTAGGAAGATTGTTGTTAAAATTTATAAAGTGCCCACCGTTTTACCCCTGGGTTCGGTTTTTCTCTCATCTATTTGTATTTCCTTCTTTGGCCAAAAGAGCTAAAGTCGTCACTTGTTAAATACTTTATGCCTATAAGTTTTGTAGCTCTTAGAAAGATATTATATAGAATATATAAGTATGTTTGCTTTTCTTCCACAATATTAATACCGGGGAACCTTGCGATTCTTGCTTAAAAGATCTTTAGTCTACTTTCAAGGCTTAAATCAACACATTTTTTTGGCCTCTGGTTTATTCGTTAATTATTTGACCTGGTACATTGATGAGTCTTATCTATGCCTCTGCTTGACTAGAAATTAAAATTGAGCTACCTCAACATTTTTAAAGGGAACCCTCTTTACGGCGAGTTGAAAACAGTTCGAATATTGCTCGACGTTCTTAAATCATATTTACTTGAGCAAAATGAAAGCTTAGATATTAAGTTTAACAACAATATAATTGTTCTAGTTATTGCCGAAATGACTGCTAATTTATACAGTTTTTTGCTGAAAAACTTGCAAAAATACACAAATATGTTGTTTATTCAGCAAATATTTATGATTCAATGACATTAATGGCGACACCGAACTTTCACCCTACTACAATTTATGTTATTATATGTATGAAATTACTGACAATGAACAATTAGAAAGAGCAAAACGGAAATCCGAAAACTTGAACTTGAATGTCATTACACAAAAGAATTAACTTAAAAGCGGTGCAACCCTGCTTTGTCGAGGCTGGCAAGGTAAGAAGGCGCACAAATAATTCAAGGTAATCAACCTTGATGTAAAGGTGGAGGTCAAGCGATTTTTGGTGGCTGTGCCTAGTGCTGAACGTGTTGTGTATGGAATAGTATGTTTGTAGAAAAAAAAGGATAAAAGAGAGTGGGAATGCAGGAAGTGGCAAGTGTTGGTGATAATTAACGGCACAAAATTTATATAAAATAGTAGAACTATTGTAGATTCTGCGAGGCTGACAGACTGCAAAAGATGCTGAGATGAAAGTCAAGAAAACATAACAACAACAACAAACAACAAAATCATTGTTGTTGTATTTTTTGTTTGGTTTTTGCTGACCGAAAATATTGAAGGGCATAAAGGCTATGTGTGGGTGTGGAAAGGCAATACAAAACAAAAAACGTAAAAACAATAATAACAGCAACAAAGAAACAACAAAGAGGGCAAGTGTGCGAACAACTGTCGGCAGTCTGCGTCGTTTTGTTGCTTTTCGCTCTCAAATTGGTAACACTTGTCGTTGACACTTTGAAGGCGTTAACATAAAAACCAAAAAGGAAGGGAAACGGAAATTGCATAAAATAAAAACAAAAATCAAATTTAAACAACATAAAAAATCAACATGCCTTCAAACACTATGCTGCGAGCTTCCCCCGGAGGGTGTAGGTGCACCACTACTAATTTTCAAAGTCATTGTAATGAAAGGGCGAGTAACGGGACTGTGAATACACAATAACAGTAATTTGGCGAGCAGCCAACAGTCCATGACTAAATGCCAAAAAGCGACATGGCCTAGGCACACACATACGTACAATACATACACTGACATAAACATAAGAAATAGAACAAAAGCGTAGCGGCGCTCCGCCCGTACGGTCAGTTGATGGCGCATTTATTTCGCAATTCAACCATAATTTACTGTCAAATGTGTGGCGGAGGCGAAGCCAGTGAGGAACATAAAAAACACAACAGAGAAAATTGAAAAAGAGGCAACGCTCCACCATGTTGGCAGCACAAAAAAATTCGCTTTGAATTACACACCTATGTGAAGCGTGGCTGTTTGCAGATTTTAGATTTTTTTGGCGCTACGAGGGTTTTTTTATAAGTCATAGACATATTCACCATATACTGACATCAAATGTAAGACTGCTACAACAAGGCTTCTACTGTTAAAACAGCTGTTAGAAGACTGTTGTCGATTAACAACTGTTGGTTGGCTGCTGTCAAAGTTTACGTAATTTTGATTGTGTTTGACAGTCATCCAAAAACAACATAACCTTAAACAAATTTTTTCGAAAAGAAAAACACCACAGCAGCAAAAAAATAGTGAGAACATCTGCAAAATGCTAATTAAGTAGTAAATAATTTAATTTATAAAATAAAAGCGAAGTTGTACTTTCTGAAGACAAATCGAATATGTACGTCACATGAAAGATGCTGTGATTTCGTAAATAAACGATGAAATTTCGAAAAAGTGATAATGAAAGAATTTTACCTACTTTCGAACTCATGGTATGAAGCATTTTTTTATAGTTTCAGGAAACAACACAATTGTCCTTTAGCACTAGAAGTGCTCTCAGTACGATTTCTGTGATCTAAAACAAGTTGGTGCATGAAAACCTGTAACCAACAAAAACGAACGAAAAAGTAGCGCAACTTTCTTCTTAGAAGAAAGATAGTTAGGAATTAAGAAAGTACTTCACTCAGTGGAGACTAAAATGGTGCTCGGTTCTTAGCCTCAGAAGTTCATGTTACTTTCGCATTAGTTGTATAGATGGATTTACCGTTAACAAGTAATGTAGAAGTCGTTTCGGAATGTATAAAATTATCTTGATGCAATAGAATAAACACTTTAGAACTCACTGACTTATCAAACAGCCCTCGTTGCTTACATGATTTCAGCGCACTTCGTTGTCAAACATTAAATTCTGGAATTCTTTTGTATATTCTTTTTTGGCAATTCACACACTCGTTTTACATGGAAATATTTATAGTTTTCTGAGAGGTTTGAAGTTAAAAGCGAAATATAAATACTGACAAATATACTCTGCATATTTTAGTGGCTTCGCGATTCGTTAGCTGCGTGGCAAAAGATAAAAGTCGCATAGTAATTTAAGGCTAAGTTAAGTTTCCTTGGAGTGTCATATGGATGTTACCAAAGTGTGAAGGGTTTATGGGCCATTAAATGTCTCTGGTGGCTATTAGTGGTGAGAAGTCCAGTAACTGAGAAAAGTTTAAAGAGGTTATGTAGAGGAAATAAACGAAGATGGCAGGTGAAAACTTCAACTACCAAATTTTAATAGAGATGATGCTGTTATTTACGCGACAAATATAACGAGAGCGTAAAAATAACGTGAAGAAGAAAAAAAGGCTTGACTGGATATTGAATCGCCGAAAGAATAATTCAAAGATAATGAGTTAATGAAGGGTATGCACCTCCATTCCGAAGGAATTTTGAGAAATTGTTTATTGTAATTATTAACACTTCTACTATGTAAGGCAACTGGTGTATAGTTTCAAGTCTACTTTCTTTGATTACCATAAAAGAATTTTAGATTGTGTATGGTTACTAACCTCGGCATACTACAAGTATAAAGGGTAGACAACAACCCTGAGTTGACATTTTAGAGAAAAATACAACATTGTCCAAATTTTTTCAATAATTTATAAAATTATATGTAAATAAACAATTACCCATATTGAAATTTTTATTTTGTAGAATTTTGGTAAATGAAAACAATCGAAATCTTTTGCAAGCATCTGGTCATGAGTAGTTGCTTGAAATTGAAATTGACATCTCTGTCTAGTTCACGATAACCGAAGCAACTTAAATTCTCTATATTTGATAGTAGATTCTTCATTTTCGAGAACATCAAACTCCACCACTTCCAAGACGGATCTTTCTGCAAACCAAGATTACTTGAATTCGAAATTAAAGCGTGTATTTACGTTTGGTGATTTTTGAAAAAAATTTTGTTTTTAGAAAAAATTCGTAGATTTATTATTGATTGTGGAGTAATACTGTAAGGAATTGAAGCCGACGGGTTAAGGAGTGTAAGTCGTTCATTTTCTATACTCGCTTGCCGTGTCCACCACTATTAGATCCAATAATATTGATAACCTAAGAATATATTTTAAAATATGGACGTTAATTTTTAAAGGAGAAGAAATGTACGGTAGATCTCTTAATATTGGGTCTATTTGTCGACAGACCTAAATTAAAAAGCAAAAATTACTGCTTACTTCATTAAGCAACGAATATAAATATTAACGCCAGATATATAGTACTTGATATTCCAATGCAATATAATAAATATTTATGACAAAAGAAAGGTTAACTCAGCGTAGTGACATTCAACTGTCAAACTATTTTATAATTTTGCTGCCGATTTTCCAAAATAAACTTAGCTAAGAATTATTTATGTTGTGAAAATTCGTAAAAGTAGGAGATTTCTGCTGAAATTTAAAACCCTGTGAAATTCCATAAATTAAAGGTTAGACCTTTATAAAACTCCGATGAAAAAATCATGGTAGTCTTAATTCTTATTCTAAAAACCAGAAGTAAAACTTAGAGTTAAAGAGTTGTGCAAAATTTGATGGTAGAGCTTAATATAGCAATAACTTTTAGGTTTATAACATTTACTTACCTCCCACAGGTCCACATCCAGTGCTGTGCTTGACTCCTTGTTGGGCTTCAAACGCTTCGGTTTAGATTTTGGTTTCGATTTATTTTTCTTATCCATACTGTTATGATGTGTTATGTTGCTTATGAGAATTTAGAGTTGAGAAATATTCTTCGCTGGTTTTGTCTGTTTAGACAGTTATGTTATTAATTTGTATATCCTTTTTGCTTAATGTACTAACAGTGCCGGTATTGTAGTTTTAGTTATATTTAAACTGTTTTTGTAAAATTACTGTCAGATTTTTAGTTTAATTTTATTTAAATATGGTTTATAAATACTAGTTATTTAGGCAATTATTATGCAAATTTATTTCCTTTAAATTTTAAAATTTTTTTACGCGCATTTTCTGCTTAATTTAAGCGTCTTTTTGCTGTAGTTTACTGAATTTACAAACATTTGCGGTTTAGTTTTACAATGTAGAAAATTTCTTCGTCCTTATCAGTGCAGCAAATGGCGATTTATTTCGAATTCTGCAGCTGTTGCAGTTATTGTTGTTATTGCAAATCGTCTAGTTATCTCTTTCAACATTTGCCGAAAATATTTCCAGTAATTTGCATATTTATGTCAGCAACTCAATTTCTTATTCCTTTTGATCACTTTTCCTTTTCCTCTCTCGCTTTCTTATATGCTTTTAATAATTTGAATAAATAATTGTAGTAATTTTAATTGCCACTTTCTTCGCTTTAAAATTTTACTATATTTTGTTGTTGTTGTTGCTGTTGCTAATTTTCACTTGCATATAGATGATTTATGTTTCCGCACTGTTGGCGCTCATTTGTTTTGTTGGCACCCTGTGGCGGCTCACTGTTGCTCCGCTTTAGTTCTGCAGCTTTATCTTGTTGCTTGACTTCTGTTGTACTTATTGTTGTTTACAAAATTGGTACAATGTGTTGTACATATACATGAGTTTTAAGTTTGTTATTTAACACCAGCGTAATTAAGTCATGCAAATGCGGTCAGCAATTAAGCGTTAAACTGTCTCGGAGAGCCTAGAAACAGTAGAAATTTGATTACTTTAATTTATTTGAGGCATAAAAAAATATGTGATACAAAAAATTTGAAGTAGCAAAAAAATCGCTATAAATAATTATTGATTTACATTTATTTCTTGAGAGAAAATTTTATTGTAAAAAAATTAAAAAGGTTACGAGGATCGTTGGAGAAATTAATTTATATTTTATGAGATTTTTTGTTATGCAAAAATAAGTTTAGACTGCTAAAACAGGCAGACTGAAGGCTTAAGTCATAAAAATTAATAAACATTTTTTAATAAAATATTTTATAGTAATTTGTCATTTAAAAACTAAATTTTGAAGAATACGTTCATAACATTTTAAAAACACTTCCTTAATCAACTCGCGGTTTTTGTTGCTGCTTTTACATGCAAATTTCTCGACAAGAGGGCAGCAATCAAAGATATCGAGTAGAGAATTTCCAAATCAATGACGCCTACAGTCAAGATTTAGACGCCAAAATAGTCATTAGTACTTTACATTTAGTTGTTTAAAAGACTTATAGCAAGTAAACTAATCTCAACTATCTTTGAAATTCCATGAAACCGGTAAAAGTGGCTTAATAGATAGTGAAATACATTGAAAGCCTCCAGGAAATTTTGAAACTTATTCCCTCGATGTACCATTCTTGCTGTTTTTCTAATTCCCATTTTGACAGTTCCATCAAGTCACCAAAGCTGTAGTTAATGACTCAGATATTCATGGAGCGTTCTACGTATAAGCAAGCTCGACACATACAAATAAGGTATTCTTAAGCTTGTAGTTCACTTTCTTTAGAAACTCTAAAAAACAGACCCATCATAGAGGGTTTTACAAATTATTCGGTACAACAAAAATACATACAAGTGTAAAGACATTAATCTAGGACAAATTTTGAGAAAAGGAAATTGTATTCGGCGAAATTATTCACTGAAATTTATTCAGAGTCGAGTTTTCCAGCACCATACCCTTTGTTAACAAATATTATTTTCCTATATTAGAATTCCTTCGACAATCCTCTTAGTAAAATAGAATTAAACATAATAATTTTTATTTTCTTTCTTTAAAAACATTAATTTTTCTCACAACACATTTCTTAACTTTCCACTAACAGCACTTTTCTCAGTTTATTCGATTTTTCATGCAAGTTTACGTTATTTAAAGTCACTCTCTTAAGCAAATTCCTTTCGCGGATATACGTTAAGCTCATTAACGCTCAAACCGTTAGTAAATTAACATGGAAGAAGATTTCACACCCAAAACGGAAATTCGGTAATGCTAATTCAGTTAAATGGCGGAGAAGGTGACCAATTAAGTCTCTTATGCGTTTTTGCTGTATTAATTTTATATGTTCATAATTAGCCACGCATTTCTTCACACCTTGTTATGAGTTTTGCTTAACTGTTATTAGCACATTTTTAATTGTTTTATGTTCTCGCATTTTTTTCATTTATAGTTTTTCATTATTATGTACTCACTAATAAGTTCAAGGAAAAGTGCTAATTCGACTTGTCACCTTTTTTATGATTTTTAATAGGTAATTAGCAATTGGTAATGAAATTGTGCGCATAAAAGTTTTACAATAGTAATTAGTATTTAATTACTTGACATTGTGTTTACATATTTCTTGCTTTTCAATTATTTATGTCTTGTCTTTGGTATATTTATTAATTTGTTTTACTTTTCTTGCGAAATTGTTAATGGATTTACGAGGCTAATTAATGCGACTGCGAAGTAATGGAAATAATGAGTTGAAGTTTCGGATGTAAAAAGGGTAAAATATATTTTTTCTTTTTTTGTAAACAAAAATAATTTCAGGGAATATAAGAGATAGATTTTAGTATGAACAAACTAACACAAAATCCTCTTATAATGACATTCAAGAAGGGCGATGAACAATAAACTTTCAATCGAATCTTATACTCCACAAAAACCACTTGATTTGGTTAGGGTGGAATTTTTTGAATTATTTTTTTGATTTTAAAGAATTTTAGTCAACTTAGAAACGCTTAGCTACTGACTCCAATAATAATTTTTTTCATGAAAGACCTCAAAAGAAAAACGCCTAATAAAGTTATATATACAAGTAGAAGATATCCGAGACATCGAAAATTTTATCTTCATCAATTCTAGTAGATAATGTAATGGACGATCTTTTATGAAATCTTTCTTCTTCCATATAGTTTACGTTCGAGTTCTCGACAATATTCTACAGTAAGAAAGGCTAATAACACTTACTTTATGTACTGTTTCCTTTACTCTTATGAAACATATATATTTTATATAAGGACATTCAATTAATCCACTGCTCAAGAGCTTTTCGTGATCAAAGCGCTCACCAATCAATATGAGATTGACACCAAAGAAAGGCCAGCAAAAAAATAATAACAAATAATGAATAATAAAAATGTAAACAATAAAGTGACTTGTACATTTTTTATTTAATTAGAATGCAGGGACACTAACACCGGCATACAGTACTTTTCTATAAGCACACATACATATACACCACTACAACTAGCGCAGTGGCCGTAATCAGTTGGAAGCAGAAATTATTAAATAAACAAACATTGGCAGTCAATGATGGAAATGAAAATATTTTTAAGGTAAAGAAATAAATAAATAAAAATTTCATTTAAACTAAATGAAGGGAAATTGAAAATTAATAAATGTTGTAAATGCGCTTGGAAAATATTATCAATAGCATTTTGTCGTAAACACAGTAAATAATGGATAGGAAATGGCTTGCGTTGAAAATCAAGGAAGTTAGTAGGTCACAATTTTTTCAAGTGCTTCGGTGCATATTTGTTTATATATAATTTTTTTTTTTACTGCTGCACTTATCGTTCATTGCATAAGTTTATGAAGTATCAATCGCGCAGCGTCGAGGCCAATGGACGTAAACACGAGGCGTTAATTGAATTGTAAGTGTGAATGGACATAATTGTTTGCAAATAAATGCTAAGAAGTTGTAAAACTGAAGAAATTTCAAAAGCAAATGAAATAGTTGGTGACTGGAAATTTTTTTTAAATGAGTGTTAATAAAAAATATATAAATTAAAACAAAATAATAATGTAGCTTATTGAAAAATATTATTAATAAAATAACTAATAATGATAAATTCATACGAAATAATTAAGCGAAACTAAATACATAGAATAAATAAAATACAAACTATTGAAAAAATTAATAAAAAACAATAAAGGCAACAAATTTTTGTAAGAAAAATTCATTAGAACATAATTTTACAATAAACATCAAAAATATCAAAAGATCCTTAATCTGCTTTTGATCGATCAGTTTGTATGTCAGCTATATGCTTTAGTAATCCGATCTTTACAATTTCTACCGAGATTACACCATTGCCTTAGACAATAAGCTATGCTACATTTCGACAAGACTAAATCGATCCAGTACATCATGCTGATCATTTATTTACATATTTTATAGGGTATTCGACGTTTACTTCTTCTTAGTAAACATAATATAACCTGTTGTAGGCATAAAAATGAGTTGCCAGATTCTACAAAATAAGTAGTAAAAATAAATTGTTTTACGTTTCCCTTTATAATATTTAAAAACGATATGTCATTTTAAATACAAAAAAAAATATATATATAATATTTTTTATAAAATTGTTACATATTTGAGACTAGCGTACATTTCTTTGTATATTATCTAATTTGCCTTTGATTAATAGAACAATTTTTAATGTATGTTTGTTTTAAATAATTCAGAGAAGTGTTGCTCGGCGATAAAATAATTTTAATATTGTACTTATATAATTTGAATTTTGAAAACAAAAAAACGTTTAATTTTATGGTGTATGCATTAATTCGTGCGGTTTTCTAAGAGAGGGCTCTACTAGTATTATTTCGCGTCGTATTCATCCTCGGCTATATTCATTTCAAAGGTACTGCCATTTCGCGTCGTTTTCAGTAGATATAAATTATTTGAGCGTGAACAACAATTTGTTTCATTCATTTGAAAATGTCGAAATTTGTACCAGATAAAGTGTTTTTGCGGGGAGTTCTTCTTCATTATTATAACATGAAGAAAAGTGCTGCCGAAAGCCATCATATTTTACTGGACGTTTATGGTGACCATGCTTTAGCCGAACGAACGTGCCAAAAGTGGTTTGCACGGTTTAAAAGTGGCAATTTCGACTTAGACGACGGAGAACGACCCGGACAGCCAAACAAACTTCAAGACGAAGAATTGGAGACATTGCTCGACGCAGATGCATGCCAGACGCAAGAAGAACTTGCAAAAGTATTAGGAGTTGATCAAGCAACCGTTTCCAGACGATTAAAATCATTAGGATTCATCCAGAAGCTTGGAAATTGGGTGCCTTATGAATTAAAGCCAAGAGACGTCGAACGTCGATTCTGCATGTTGCTTCAACGCCACCAAAAGAAGTCGTTTTTGCATAGGATTGTCACTGGGGATGAAAAATGGATTCATTATGATAACCCAAAGCGTAAGAAATCGTATGTGAAGCCCGGCCAACCATCAACATCCACGGCAAAGCCAAATATCCATGCTGCTAAGGTTATGCTATGTATTTGGTGGGACCACAAGGGTGTGCTCTATTATGAGCTATTGAAATCGGGTCAGACGATCAATGGGGACCTCTACCGAAAACAATTGATTCGTTTGAAAAAGGCCATCGCGGAAAAACGACCAGAATATGCGACCAGACACGAATCAATAATTTTTCATCATGACAACGCTCGGCCACATGTTGCAAGGCCAGTTAAAAACTATTTGGAAAACTGTGGATGGGAAGTTCTACCTCACCCGCCTTATAGCCCAGACATAGCACCTTCCGATTACCACTTGTTCAGATCAATGCAGAATGCCCTCACCGGAGTACGCTTCTCTTCAGAACAGGGTATCAGAAATTGGATTGATTCTTTCTTGACCTCCAAGCCGGAGAAGTTCTTTTGGGATGGGATCCACAAACTGCCAGAAAGATGGGCAAACATCATAGCTT